CATAATATTACAGCTAAAATGAATTTCGGACAAATATAAATATATATACATTGTATATTTTTTTTTTTTTTTGGTGTTTTCAAAATAAGGTACTGAAGTGGACAGATGTAACAGAAATGAGCAAATGATTCTTTTTTAATTTTACAATAACACTAAACTTATCTTGTTCTTATGTTGTGTGATATGGAAGTAGTTAGCTTTGCAACTGTACATAGAAATATTTCACACTAAAATTAAATCAAAATAATCTTATCAGGATATATATTCACAGAAAACTATTAAAATAGGATATATAGAATGTTGAAGTGACATTGTGGTTAAAATTAGTCAATTGTTAAAACATAGATTCTTTAAGATCATTCTTTTTACTTCAATAATAAACAAATCATCTATCCCAGCCCCTCATAAAACAGTTGGATACAGACCAATTTCAGCCCCTCATAAAACAGTGGGATATGGATCCTAACTATATACATACAGATGGGGCTGGCACATTATTGGAAGTTAACAAGCTGTATATTGGGAGCTGTGTATTGTATATTGGGATGTGTGATATATTACAAACCAGTGGGGGTGCCAATATAGGGTGATATACTTCAAAACAGTGGGAGGGACTTTCTGTTAGAGAAATGCCTATTATTAAGTAAGCTGTAAATCAATTAAGTCTAAGGATCTATTGAACATCATTTTTTTATTGGCCAAATATATAGTCAATGAAAAAAACAACCCAAAAAACAAATATATTTCACCACCCTGAATAAAGTATTTGTCTCCATATTCCAGCACATTGTCATATCACTTGACCAATTTAATTATTATAAGAAATGGAAGAAGATCATAAGAAAAATGATTTTATATATATGGTTATGACCTCAGTAATGAAAAAGTGATAATAATCAAAATTTGTTTGTAAACAAAGTCCTAAAAAAATATTTTGAATCTGTAAATTTTAATGAATGATCAGCAGTCCATTTATACTGAAACATTAACATAGAGAACTATCAATAATGAGAAATAATGAACTTATAACACTGAATCATAATAACATCTTCAGATAATAATGTTACTGACATTTCACATAAATAAACTTAAAATTTCATCAATTGGTAGTAATTAATTACAACAATTTAAAAGCAGATCTGTAATTTTTTAAATGAAAATTTTATTTGTTGGTATTTAGTAATTAGAAATTCAAGCTTATGAAAACTTATAATTTACTTCAGTCTGTATAATATCTATTAAAAAGATAAATCTGATTATATCACTATATATTATTTTGTAAATATATATAGAAAGTTACTGTCTGTATGATAATTTTCTTTAACACAATGGAAATACATTATCTGAAAATAAAGAATCTTCCTTTCATTATCAATGTTCTTATTTAATTCAGAACAGTTCATTCAAATGTCTATGCAACTTTTCATTTTGAAATACAAAAAGAAAGAAACTCCTTGATCAAGGAGCTTAATTCTATAAATTTTTCCTGAAATTTGTTCTATTTGTTTACATTAATTGTACATTATGTACTATTTAAAGCATATAAAGCTATTATATTAAAACCAAAACCCCAGGAACTATGAGATTTGAACATCTAGTGTAACATTCCCCCCAAAATGTAACAAACGCCTCCCTGCGGCATGTAATTTCTGGGTTTTCTAACAAAAAATAATTAGAAAGTCATAGAATTTTTGATGTTTTTTTTAGGAAATGTGTTTGCATATTTGATTTAAGAATGATTTGGTGTATGTATCTTTTTTTAATATTGACAATTTGCAGAATATTCGTCCAAATAGTTATCCTTTCTGTAATATTTTGAAAAAAAAATGTCCAAAAAGTTATCCTTTCTGACAATAAGGTACATTAAAACAACAAACATGGCCTTAATTAACTTTATTATTTGACATAGATGGTCCATTTACTGTGCAGAAGGGACAATTTGTTCAGCCAATATACACATTTTCAACATACATGTATATGAAACAAGAGCTGTCGGTAGGACAGCTACGCTCGACTATTCTTAGTGCTTGATAGTAAAAAAATGCTTGATACAGTTACCTCCTCCTGTTTACAGGTTGGGGTCATGATGGTGAACAAGTGTGCAAAGTTTCAAAGCCATATGTCAATGGACTTTGAAAATATTTGAACTATTACAAAAACTTTAACGTAAATTCTAAGTCAAACAAGAGCTGTCGGTAGGACAGCAACGCTCGACTATTCTTAGTCTTTGATAGTAAGAAAAAATGCTTGATACAATTACCTCCTCCTGTTTACAGGTTGGGGTAATGATGGTGAACAAGTGTGCAAAGTTTCAAAGCCAGATGTCAATGGACTTTGAAAATATTTGAACTATTACAAAAACTTTAACATAAATTCTAAGTCGAAAAAGGAGCATAATTCTGTCAAAATGCTTGATACAGTTACCTCCTCCTGTTTACAGGTTGGGGTCATGATGGTGAACAAGTGTTCAAAGTTTCAAAGCCATATGTCAATGGACTTTGAAAATATTTGAACTATTACAAAAACTTTAACGTAAATTCTAAGTCGAAAAAGGGGCATAATTCTGTCAAAATGCTTGATACAGTTACCTTCCTCCTGTCTAGAGGTTGGGGTCATGATGGTGAACAAGTGTGCAAAGTTTCAAAGCCATATGTCAATGGACTTTGAAAATATTTGAACTATTACAAAAACTTTAACGTAAATTCTAAGTCGAAAAAGGGGCATAATTCTGTCAAAATGCTTGATACAGTTACCTCCTCCTGTCTACAGGTTGGGGTCATGATGGTGAACAAGTGTGCAAAGTTTCAAAGCCATATTCAATGGACTTTGAAAATATTTGAACTATTACAAAAAACTTTAACGTAAATTCTAAGTCGAAAAAGGGGCATAATTCTGTCAAAATGCTTGATACAGTTACCTCCTCCTGTCTACAGGTTGATGTCATGATGGTGAACAAGTGTGCCAAGTTTCAAAGCCATATGTCAATGGACTTTGAAAATATTTGAACTATTACAAAAACTTTAACATAAGTGGTTACGCCGACGCGGACACCAACGCCGACGCCGACACTCGGGTGACTACAATAGCTCTACTTATTCTTATCGAATAGTCGAGCTAAAAATGTGATTCATAATGATATGTGTTTGTATATATTCTTTTTATATGTGCTTGTACATTTATATGTAAACTTGAATTTGTTTGGTCAGGATCTGTGTTCATGTATATAGATGTTTTGATATGTGTTTAAGACTGGCTTTATTATTGATATGTGCTTGTATATAAATATGTATACTTGCATTTTTGTCAGGGTATGTCTTTGTATATAGATGTTATGATGTGTGTTAGAGACCGACTCCTCGAAAACATAAATTTTATCATTAAAATTATATTTTTTCTTAACATAATACATTTTTTGTCACTAAACATACTACCTTATATTATAAGAATGCCCTAGGAGGTATTTTAAGGTCATTTGTGCCTTCCTAGGAAATATTTTAAGGTCCTTTGTGCGTCCCTAGCAGTCCTTTGTGCACATTAGCGGTCCTGCAACTCATCGAAAGCATAAATTCTATCACCAAAATTATATTTTTTCTTAAAATTATACATTTTTTGTCACTAAACATACTACCTTATATTATAAGAATGCCCTAGGAGGTATTTTAAGGTCATTTGTGCCTTCCTAGGAAATATTTTAAGGTCCATTGTGCGTTACAGCAGTCCTTTGTGCACATTAGCGGTCCTGCAACTCATCGAAAGCATAAATTCTATCACCAAAATTATATTTTTTCTTAAAATTATACATTTTTTGTCACTAAACATACTACCATGTATTATAGGTATGCCCTCACAGGTATTTTAAGGCCCTTTGTGCCTCCCTAGGAAATTTTTTAAGGTCTTTTGTGCGTCCCTAGCAGTCCTTTGCACACCTGAGCAGTCCTTAGCGGTCCTGCACCTCATCGAAAGCATAAATTCTATCATAACAATTATATTTTTTCTTTTAACTTACAACCATATATTATAAGAATGTTCTAGGAGGGATTTTAAGGTCCTTTGTGCCTCCCTAGCAGTTGTTAGTGCACCTGAGCAGTCCTTAGCGGTCCGGCAACTCATCGAAAGCATAAATTCTATCACCAAAATATATTTTTTCTTAAAATTATACATTTTTTGTCACTAAACATACTACCATGTATTATAAGAATGCCCTCACAGGTATTTTAAGGCCCTATGTGGCCTCCCCTAGGAAATATTTTAAGGTCTTTTGTGCCTCCCTAGCAGTCCTTTGCACACCTGAGCAGTCCTTAGCGGTCCTGCAACTCATCGAAAGCATAAATTCTATCACAAAAATTATATTTTTTCTTACAATAATACATTTTTGTCTATTAACTTACTACCATATATTATAAGAATGTTCTAGGAGGGATTTTAAGGTCTTTTGTGCCTCCCTAGCAGTTGTTAGTGCACCTGAGCAGTCCTTAGCGGTCCGGCAACTCTTCAAAAACATAAATTTTACCACTAAAATGATATTTTTTCTTAAAATAATACATTTTTTGTCACTAAACATACTACCTTGTATTATAAGAATGCCCTAGGAGGTATTTTAAGGTCCTTTGTGCCTCCCTAGCAGTCTTTTGTGTATCTGAGCAGTCCTTAGCGGTCCGGCAACTCATAAAATTTTCACCAAAATTATATTTTTTCTTAAAATTATATTTTTTTTTTCACTAAACATACTACCATGTATTATAAGAATGCCCTAGGAGGTATTTTAAGGTCCTTTGTGCCTCCCTAGTAGTCCTTTGTGGCTCCTTAGCAGTCCTTAGCGGTCCTTAGCAGTCCTTAGCAGTGTTTAGTAGGACCCTAGAAATTTTGTTAACCAAACATAAGTAGATTTCGGTTATTAGTCATATCTTTATTTTATTACTACTTGTTTTTCATATAGTTCATAAATCATTATAGACTGTTAAAATAATATATTATAAAATTACTGAATTGGACATATTTTGACACTTTTTGTATGCGAATATTTGGAGTTCCATCTTATAATAAGGATATATATGCATAATTCTGATTAAATTACATACAGAAAAAAAAACAACACGAAGACGATCAATAGCAATAACATTTAATGTATAAAAACATCTTTTTTGTCAATATTATGTCATACATGTATATATAGTCACTTTCACTTTTACACTTTCATTGTTTTTTTTTTTCCATGCACATATTTCATTGTCTATTTTTTTTGACATCTTACGACTCTACTCTTGGGGCTTGTATAAGTTGCCGAATTCTCTCAAAAGTCCCGTTGATGATAACTCCCCATTCCTGTACTTATCCCATAGCTGGTGCGTCTGTCCCTGAAGAAAGGTGTACTTTTTCCGTTGGTAGCGGCGTAGTCTTCCTTCACTTATCAATTCCGAGTTCCTCACCGCTACCTGGGCCTCATCGAACAGCAGTTATATCAAAAGGTAGAATGGAGGCGTTCCCCCAGCCCTCCCATTCAATCTTCTATGCCATCCTATAAAATAATAGAAGTATATTACAATACCAATAAGATAGGCACAGGTCAACTATAATAGATATATTTATCTCTTTAATGCGGCGATGTATGTGTCCATGAATGCATTTCTCAAATTCGCTACAATTTTGGCTAAGACATATTTTTTTATGTATGAGAAGTATGACTGCTACCATGTATACAGTCTATTTCAAATATCTAATATTGTCATAATATTTTAAAATGTGATTTTACCTTCAACATCGTTGTTTGTGCGGATGCTCAATCCAAACACCGACCAAGAATGGACTGGCCACATATCATTGTCGATCCAGGTCCGTCTAATGTAAGCTAGCAGTCCATCAAAACGGTCTGGAGCTAAGTCTGCCATAGACTCGAACACAGGACCAATGTGTTCTGCAGGAAGGAATGGCAGACACAGAAGTTTTCTGATGAAGCGGTGTGCCCCTCGGTGACTGACATACTCGGCAGACAGGCCTTTTTCCTGTAAAAAAACAATTAGTTTCAGAATACGTTCAAGAAAGATAAAAAAAAATAAAATTAGTTTCAGAATATGTTCAAGAAAGATCTATAAAAATAAATTGGCAATATCAAAATATTTCAAAAAAAAATATATATGTATATTTCAATCATATGGCTCTTTTATATGAATATATTTGATGTGACATCATCTTGTTTTTATTTAATTCTATACTTTTTTTTAATATTGTTTGATTTAAATATGATTGTTTTCATTACCTGTACTTTCCTCCATACTGCTTGCCCCCAGTGGAAACTGCATCCGTGGATTTCTGCGTCCTCGAAAACGTGGCGTAATGCATTCCAAAGGGCTGCCTCAAAATCAACAACGAAGTCAACCACATTCACTTCGCGCTGTAGCAAACGACCCAGTTTCTGAAATACGAACTAAAAATTAAATTTCCATTCCAAACATTCCCATATACAGTACACTGATACAAATATTGTACAACCAGCCGATATTGAGTATATATCGTAATGCAATTTAAGTTTTTATTTTATTATTCTGACTACCTTTTAATCTTGTACATGTCCAGGAACCGGATTGATATATGGATATTTTTTCAATTAAATAATAATTTATAGGCTATTTTTAATATTGAGTCTGTCGTACCTTAAGGACTGCGACGTAGTCTCTTGTGCGTCTGCTGCTCATGAGGACGTAAACGAGAGGTAGTTGTTTCGCACAATCGCCGCTCCTTACGAAGGCATGGATAGAAAAAAGGCTTGTGAAAGGTTCCCTCACAACCTTAAATGTCCCATCGAGGTACCATCTCTTCGCTTTCTTCGGTGTAGCCAATTGATCGTCGCTAGCAAAAAGCAGGTGACGGCTGTCACCAACTCTCACGTCACACCGATAAAAGTTAGGCGGTAAAAAGTCTTCTTTCACCTTAAACAAAAACATGAAAATTTGCCGAAACTAAAGCTATGTGTTATCTTTAGAAATAATGAAAAGTAACAGAAACTATTATAATCTAATGCCAAGAAATCTCAATTTCCATCTGTCAAACGAATAAGGTCCGACATTTACTAAATCAAATAATTGTTGAGATGCTAAAACAGTATGTTGGAATCGTTGTTCTATGGTTTAACGTTGGGGTCCGTCTGGACTCCTTGCCACTGGTTCTTGTTGCTGGGTCGTATGGGGGTTGCGTTCTTTGAACGCCACCTTTCCTTGTTGATCTTGTTTTAACAGCATGCGTCATTACAGGGTAAACCATGATTTTATATCAAACGTACACATACCTCGAAGTTAAGATCTGAAGGTTCTTCTGGGCGAAGTTGTTGTCTCTTGCGGTTAACTACTCTAGCAATGTTTTATTTATAAACTATTATTGTATTGTATTGTATTTTACAACCAATAAATAAATATAATTGACACAATTGATACAATGACCTAAATTATCGTGTTGATTGACGATAAGTGGATACTGTACTGTTTTATGCATGATATAAATTGTTGTTAATTAAATATATCATGACACGTGCCTTTGGTTATTAAAGTATACACATGGTAATTTGATAATAGGATTAACGACACAAATACCTCTGTGGTTGGATACGTTTTTATATATTTAAAGAACGCGTGTCTTTAATTTGAAATTATACAAATCGCGTGAAAATCGTGCCAAAGGTTGTTATAAAAATTTATTTTCCAAATGTCGAATTTGTTTTGATGGTGTATGGTCAAATATATGAAAATGTTGATTAAATACAATTAATACATTCAATATGTTGACTTGTATTATACAAGAAATTCTGGAACTCGGTTTTATACAGCTCCTCTTTGAGATCAGTTTAAAAATTTATTTATGGAAATTGAATATTAATCTTTACTAATTATTAGATGGCAATTGAATACTTGGTAATTACTTTTATGTTTTCAATCATGATTTCAATCAGTTAATATCCACTGCAAATATTATTGTACGGATTTTTTTATTTAAAAAAAAAATAATGAAAAAAAATAAAAATAAATACTAACTCTTTCAAAAGGCATGTATGTATATACAACTCCTATGATAATAATGGACCATAATATTACAATAAAATGCAATTTAGAAAAAAAAAAACTTAATAAATTCTTTAAATATTCTTGGACAATTTTTATTCCAATACACTATATAAGATCATTTGGAATTGCAAGACCATTTGTCTGTTAAAAATGAACATAAACATCACAAATGACTAACCTGTATTACAACTTCTGTGTTGCCAGTGTTCACAGCGCTCACACTGAAGTGCTTGCTGATTTTTCCGCACATGTTTCCTACAATCAATGCAGGGGTACATTGCCACAATTAACGACACTAATCAATTAAAAAAGTCACAATCAACAACACAAATAATTAAATTGTCACATACACCGTTCACATGCAGTCTATAATCCAACAATATGGAATTCTAAGAAATGATTGATATGCACAAAAAAAAAAAAAAAAAAAAAAATCCAATGTTCATATAACGTACAACGCAAATGTGTTTTTAAGAATAAATCTTATATTTATCAGGGAAACTTTTATATTGACAATTTCCCAACAAACAATTATCATGTTTTTAATTGACACGATCCTTCTATAATGAGATCAATACGCACCGACATAAAGTTTTTAGCGCTTCTAATTTCTGTTAATCTGTCGTCAGTCTTTAATCCATTCAGGGAGGCGGTAAAAATCAAAGAGTTGGACCTAATTTTAGTTTTAATTATCATTAAAACTCCGATTAATTAAACATTAATTGAATGTTTGTAAACTTACCTGTCTTTGTAGTTTGACATCAAAGCTATGCATGTGCGCTTAGATAAAGATCATTAAAATTTAACGTAAAAAAGACGTAATTATTTTATTAATATTTCGATATCAATCAAATTCAGTATTAATTTTACATATTTCACATAAAAGAATTATTTAAAGACATTTTAAAGACAGAGATCGAAAGTAGGGGACGAGTTGACCATATTAGGGACGAGTTGACCAAAAGTAGGGGACGAGTTGACCAAAAAGGTGTCGAGTTGACCAGGGGACGAGTTGACCAGGGGACGAGTTTACCGGATTGCTATTTTTCTGTGTTCCAGTTGTTACATGTTTTTATGTCACATGTTCTTATGAACCACGACAATATTGAATAAAATCTTGAAATATTGAAACTTGTTGCCATGCTGTTTGGAATTTAAAAGTGGACTCTGCAAAAACAAAGACTGTAATATTTCCTAGGGACAGGAATCGTATGGAAGATGCACCTCAATTTTCTTTCGATAATGATAACTTAGAGTTAGTAGGCCTACATGATTTTTCTTATCTAGGTATTCAATTTATGGAAAATGGTAAATTTGCTAAATCTAGAAAACGAAATATTGATCACATGCAGGAATCCGAAATTCTATCAAGAAAAAAAAAAAAAAAAAAAAAGAAAACATTAAAAAAACTCATATATTACACTATGGTTTATAGTATATACATGGGATTTTTTAAATCGTTATTATTTGTTTTGGATAGAATTTCGGGTTCCTGTCTATTGATCAAGCGAACAATAATGAAAGCTATATATATGTTCTCTCTGATAAAAAATATATAGACAATTGTTACTTGTTTAATACAATGATTGTTCATATTCTTTGTTATCGCTCTGAAGTTTGGGGAATAGAAAATTTAAAGTGTATTAAGTTTCTTAATTATAATATAAATCCGTGGTTACAAAATTATTCTTAACGTCAAGCAAAGTACTCCCAATTGTACGTATGCTATAAGGTGAACTTGGAGTTACTCCTATATCTTTGCATGTAAAAAAATAGAACTATTAACTACTGGTGTAAGCTTTGAATGCTAAAGCTGATAAGGTTTGTAGTATTTTATATAAGACTGCATACTTTGTATATGTTAGATATAGAACTGCATTACCGTGACTTTCTTTTTGTTAAGAATACTTTTGACGAACTGGGTTTATAAAATTATTGGTTAGGTCAATCTACATACCATGAAAGTCTTGTTAAGTTCAAACTTCGAGATCAGTTTATCCAAAGTTGGAAAAGTACATGATGTTCAATATTTAAGCATATGTTTAAACTACCGTTTATATAAATCAGAGTTTTTATTCGAAGAGTATCTTAGGTAGAAAAAAAAAATAAAAAAATTATAGATCTGTTTTTACCAAAATTAGGATATCTGCACATTGCCTTAGGATTGAAACCGGACGATATGGTCAGAATAGAATTATTATTATTATTATTATTATTATATACCACATTTCTATAGCACTCTTTTCATAAATAATAAATGTTCAAGAGTGCTTTACATAAATCCGATAAAACATACTCATATATATATACATGTATAAGACATAATGTACAACATTAATTAAGTAAACCTATTAAACAATAATGATAATCTAAAACCAGTAAAGGATGGTAAGAAATACAGACACATTTAGTTTAAAATCAAGGCTCAATTAAAATTAACACTGATAATATAGCAAAAGTAGTACATGTATGATGATTTATGAACTAACGTCCATAGAACTTTATGAAATAATGTGTTTTGAGAGCTCTCTTAAAACATGGCAAGGTATTACAGTCTCTAATGTCAGGTGGTAACGAGTTCCATAATTTCGCTGCGGCTGTCTGGAAGCACCTGTCACCATATCGTACTGTCCGAGATTTAGGCACAACTAATGTCATTGAGTTATTCTGGGACCTCAGATTTCTGACTGGGATGTACACGTCTATCATGTCTTTTATATAGGCTGGTGATTGATCGATGAGGGATTTATATGTATAAGTCAAAATTTTATATTCGACCCGATACTCTACCGGAAGCCAGTGAAGGTCACGTAAGATAGGTGTTATGTGGTCATATTTGAGTGTTTTGGTCACAATTCTAGCTGCTGTATTTTGAACATGTTGTAACTTGGTCATTGACTGCTTAGAGACTCCATATAACAGTGCATTACAGTAGTCTAACCTAGAAGTAACAAGTGAATTTACTAGAGATTTGGTTGCTTTAACAGTAAGATAGGGTCTGATGTGACCGATTTGTCTTAATTGTGCATAACAGTTCCTACAGACATTATTTACTATTGTTCCATCCTCATGTTCGAGTCAAGAAATGCACCAAGATTGCGCACACTAGATGATTGGCTAATTTCCGAACCGTCGACTGTTACTGTAACATCTGAAACAGATTGTGCGTTATGTTCAGATCTTTCAGAATTGAAAGAGGTGAAAGAACATGCAATGTATGTCAATCCAGAGACATTGAGGATGAATTCCATATGATTTACAAGTGTGTGTCCCTGCTACAGACTTATAAGAAAACGTTACATTGATAAATATTATTATGAAAGACCATCTATGTTTAAACTTACCCAGTTGTTGTCAACCAGAAATGAAAAAAATGTTGAATAATTTAATTTGTTTCCTAAATTGTGCATTAAGAATTAGGCATAATCTTTTACAATAAATAATTAATAAATATAATATATATAAATAAATGCTCAATTTATTGTCATGTACGTTAAGAATTTTATGTTAAATGCTACTGATATATATTCTATACCTTCTTTTGTCATATGTACCACAGATACTGTCATTTTCAATATTGTATTATATCATTGTATTGTTTGACTTTGACATAATAATGTATAATTATGTTATGGATGAGGAGCGAAATGCTCAAATCTAAAATAAAATTCATGTTCTGTTCTGTTCTATAAAATACTTCCTTTGCAACTGTCTTCAGCTTAATAAATGTGTTAAAATTTAGATGTATAAATAAAAAAAAATGCCAATTCTTAAATATAGAGAGAAACTCACGTATACATGTACTTTATGTGAAACCAAATGGATGACGAATTTCACTATCTCTTTCACATTTTGTTAATAGTAGACATATACAATTATTAAACCGTGTTATTATAGGTATCCTAATGCATTAAAATTTGAAGATCTTATAAATAGTAAAAACAAATCACAATAAAAAACAAACTTGTTTTGTTTAGTAAAGAAACAATTACCAGATGCAAATAATAAGTATAATATTGTATCATTAGTGTCTTATAAAATTTTGTTAATGAAACATAAATTCCGGTTGTTATTAAGAAAATAGTCATATCTTTATTTTATTTCACGGGTACTCTATGATTGTCACTCATTTTCCTGTTTATCCTGCTACTGTCTATATCATCAGCTGGATAAAGCCTTGCCGGATAAACTTTTCTATCTCCAGTCATTACGTCACATAATGACGTCACATATTTAGCAGCAAAACAAAACTGCATATAGATGCTATTTTATCGGGGGAAAAGAAGAATGAAACCA